GTCGAATAGAACAAACGTCGCACGTGATAAGAGATACATATGCAATGTGCAGGGCGGGGTAGGACTGGAATTGGGAACTGCCGATGTAGCCTATTGTAGTAACATTGTCTCTGGTATTCTGGGTCTGTGAGCGTATATGCGTTCAGGGGCGTGGCTCTGGACAGCGATTGCAGGGAGGGTGGGACGTTCGCTTTCAGTGCTATCAGGCTAAAGTTAGCATTTTCCAAGATCTCCTACTGCACCTTTAAGTCTCTAATGTGTCAAGGGTATGTTACTGCTGCACAATGGCTCTAATGCAATTGTTAAATTTTTAATTGTAATAAAATTTCACAATATTACTATTTCTAATCAAATAAATGCAACCTTGTTAAACATAAGACTCTTCTTTCAAAAACATTTAAAAAATGGTTACACTTTATTTTAAGGTGTCCTTGTTACAGTATAATTATACACTTGAGTACCCAGAAAAGCGCTATATAAATGTAACAAATTATTATTATTATTACTGAGTAATATTAATTAATTACATGTACTTACTATATGGTTAGGGTTGGGTTTAGAGTTTGGCTTAGGGTTACTTGCATGTAATTATGCATAATGTATTGTTATTATAATAATAAATACATGTAACGTGTAACAAGGACACCTTAAAATAATGTGTTACCCAAAAACTTACTAACCCCAAACTTTTAAACAGTAATGAATGACATATTAAGCAGAATATTAAGACATTTAGCAGACTTACCCAGAATCTCTTACAAAAAGTTTCATATGTATAGTCATGAGTTCATGGATCAAAGACGAAAAAGGGTTCTCAAGCATCAAGTGTAATACAGCTTTGAATTGTCGTCGTTGTTTTTCAATACATTATAAAGTGTCCAGTTTAATTAAATCTTTTATTTTTTTTGTCTGTGCAAAAAAATAAATATCATACATTTTTAACATGATTTACAGAAAACAGCCACTAAAATGTCATTCAGTGTAACAATCTTGTCAGGCATATTTACCACAAGAATTAGTTTATGACATATTAAAAGACTAATACGTTTTACCCCAAATACTACTTACTTGTAATTTTACATTTTAAAATTTTGCCACCATCCCATTCTGGCCATTTGTCAGCAATAATTTTTTACTCACTTAAAATGAAATAAAATTTAGTATGCTAACTTTTTGTTTTATATATGTTAATACATACAGGTCAGAATAAGTACATTTTTACATAAATTTAAGAGTTACACTGAATGACAATGGAACATTATTTCACCCACATTTTGACATTTTATTCTCCCAAAACTTATTTGAAACCTTAAAAGTAGACACTTTACTTACATTTAATGTGCTTTCTATGTGTATAAAATCACTTTTGTAAAATTTCTTTTGATGCGGACATTTAAATGTCTTTGACCCTCATATATATTTATGATGCTGATGTCACACATTTATTTGAATAAGACACAATCTGAATAAATGATATGCTCTAATACAGAGTTTAGCTCCAATGATAATTGAACACGCCAGTAAAATCTAACCAAAGTCTTCAGGATTACTTGAAAATCACAGGTAGTTGTGTTTGATTAGGGTTGGACCTAAACTCAGTACAGTACAGTAGGTCTTGAGGGCCAGAGTTGCCCTCCTCTGCTCTAATATATTGAGTTAGGTGTGCGTGTATGAGAAACACTTACCACACTAATGAGCTGTGCTAGAGAGACTTTGATGCCAATAGTGACCTGCTGACTCTTATTGACCGCAGGCCGGATAAGTTTGTTGTAGCGCTCAAGACCAAGCAGAAAATCTACCAGCCTCTCCTCAGCATCAGCAGCAAGAGACCCTAACACACACACATACATGGAGATTGAAAAATGTTTAAAGATAAACACATGGCAAATGCCCTTTTGTCATTTATGGTCATATTGTGAGGAATTGTTTGTGAAATTTACAAGCAATTTTAAAATGAAAATGATTTCAAATTAAATCCAATACCAATCTTTTTCAGTGCAGTATAGTATGATTTTGTTGGTTGGAACATAAAAAAAAAACATTTATTATAAATGACTATAAATTAAATTGTGTTTGCTTTACATATATATATATATATATATATATATATATCTAGAAGGGATATGATCCCTTCTAGCTTTGTATCTAGTGTCTGTTTGCCAGAACCTTTTGAAATTGTGTCATAACATGTCAAATAATCATCGGCAGACATTGAAGTCACAAACCAGTGCCATCTCCTGCCGTTTTTTTATAGTTCTGGAGTTTTTGAGAATATCATGAAAAGGCCAGAAGTGTCTGCTAAGCTGCATGTAATCTGCTTTCACTGCAGAGCAAAAACACACAAACATGTCAGAATAATTTTCCTCTGCATCTTATCCCATCGTAACTCACAAGCCCACCGATGCTGTGGAGGGGATGTGCCAATGACATGGCAAAACAATGACTTGCCAAGACGGTAGCAAAACACACACACACAAAGCACACGCCATTTCCTCCCCACTGCATGTGGGATAAGATCTCCAGTGACTGCTCTCCTCCTCTCAAAACAGAACGCTGACACACACACACACACACACACACATACACACCTAATTTCAGTCATGAATCCAAGATTGTGTCAGACTCAATTGGTGTGATCCATTCCACACAGGAAGACACACAGACCTTTGAGCTTTTGTGGCTATGAGCTTTAGACATTTTGCATGGCTTGTCCCTTTAAGCAAAGCAAGATCCAGACCCATTCATATCAGTTTATGTGTTTGTGTGTAACTCAGTCCTCAAGGATGTTATACCCATGCAAAAGCCATAGATGACTCTCATCTACGCGAGTCTAAAGACAATGAGTGAGTATGTGTGTGTCTGATTTATTACCTTTAATCTCAGACCCATCTTTGTGTGACCACCATTTCCATCTTAGTGCGTCATCAGACAGAAAAAAACATCTGCAGCAGCATCTGACTCTAATATCCACTTTATTGATTCAATCTATTTGTCAGTCTTTCAATGTCTACACAGTATGAGCTAGAGTGGATTCAAATACAGTAATAGACACCAAAAGACCAAAATTTCCATGTAAAATTATGAGAATGTTTATAAATAAACAAGAATTGAATATTTTACATTTTAGACCACTTTTTTTTATCTCCACCAGTGAAAACTGTTCCAAACAAACACAAGGCAGAATCAACTTGTTGTGTATTTATTATAAAGAAATTAATTGGTTTATTTTAGCAAGAATATATTAAAAGTGACAGTAAAGACATTTACAATGTTACTAAATATTTCTATTTCATGTCAATGTTGTTCTTTTGAACTTCTATTCATCAATATCATAAAAAAAAAAAAGTATCACAGTTTTAATAAAACTACTAAGCAGCACAACCGTTTTCAATAGAAATGCTAAACCAAATCAGCAAATAAGAATGTTTTATGAATGGTCATGTGACTCTGAAGACTGGAGTAATGGCTGCTAAATTTAGCTTTGCCATCACTGGAAAAATACATTTTGAAGTATAATAAAACAGAAAACAGTTATTTTAAATTGTAATAAATGTAATACATTTCACACTATTACTGTTTTTACTATATTTTTGATCAAATAAATGTACCTTTGATGAGACTTCTTTCAAAAACATTTAAAATTTTACCAAAGCAAAACTTTTGAACAGTAGTTTAAATACAAGTGGTGTTTTGTTCCTGAATGACCCTATAGTGAAACAAATATAAATACACAAATATAAAAATACACTTATTTCGTGCTAAGTATAGTACAAATACATTTACATACTTATGTACTTAATAAAAATACCTTGCAATTGTACTTTTAGTATACTAAACTGTAAAAAACTTTAAGTCTGCTAAACTGGAACAACTAATTTTGTATTTTAGTACAATACAAAACTAAACAAAACAACTAAAAAAATACTGAAGTTATATATACTATTGCAAGTATACTTTAGGTACACATTAAATATTTCACTTTTAAAGACCGATATTATTCAAAGATAATACAATTCTCATCAATAGTGATATTAAAACACATTTTAGGCTTAATATTAAGAAATGCAGTGCACAAGTGTTACTCCAAATAAAGTTGAATTATAATTTTTATATCAGTAAGTCTCACGTGTTATGTCAGCAAATATGTTCATAGATTTGAAATATACTTAGTATGAAATAAATGTATTTTAAACATTTTTTTTTACTAGGGTAATCAGTGTTTATGAATGAATCAATTGATTGAATGATTCATTGGCTCACTTGTCATCGCCAACTGACATGACAATATTAACTGCAGAAAGTGTCACTAAAAATTTCCACCAATAATGCACAGACTGATAGGCTGTATGGAATGCACAAACACAGAGAAGCTGACTGATACACTGGACTGTATATCAGAACTCTTGGAACGCTTCTTGGCCATTAAAATTCAAAGCCTGGAACTAAATGCTATTACTATCATGTTAAGGAGAATTCACAATGTCCTAACAAACACCAACAGACTTGGGGGTGCCCACATATTTTTGTAGTAGTAGCAAAAATAATAATGGCAGAATTCATTAGTTTTAAGTAGCCATGAAATTGTGAATTTTGTGATTTAAATGTTACAAAATTAAAATAATGAACATTTTGATGTATTTATTATATGTGACCCTGGACCACAAAACCAGTCATAATGGTCAATTTTTTTTAAATTGAGATTTATACATCATCTGAAAGCTCGGTCGAGATACAACTATTTGAAAATCTGGAATTAGAGGGTGCAAAAAAATCAAAATACTGAGAAAATCGCCTTTAAAGTTGTCCAAATGAAGTTCTTAGCAAGGCATATTTCTAATCAAAAATTATATTCAATTGATATTCAAAAATCTGGGTTATTTATAGATTTATAGACCTAGATTTATTTTAGAATTGTACTGTGCTATTGATATGTATCTTTCACTTACAGTTTATTGACCAATAAGACATGGGTCAGTTTGAGCACTGACCCTGTTGCCGTCTTTTAGGCTGTTAGCCAGACTTTACGTCATACTACAGACAGTAGAGTGATCATCTTTACTCTTCTTGATGTCATCAGTGATCTCATATTTACTTATGAGGCCTGTAGATCCTTTTCTTTTCCTAAACTGTGCAACTCTTTAGCAAAAAGGCTGTGTAAAACACACGCATCGACATAAGCAACAACTCTTGAAAGAGCTGATAATTAAAGATGAAATAATTTACACTTTATGTGTGTTTGTGGCTATTCAGCTGAGCTGTAATTTATGTGCATGTGACTGAACTGCCTGTGAAGAGGTTGTGTGTTTTTGTCATGCTTGCTCTGATGTTAATGGATGTGTTAAGTGCTCTCATCCCTCACATTATCCCACAGTACTGTATAGTAATAACATCACACAGGCATAACCGTAACACGTAACACAAAAAAATAATAATAATATAAATAAAATTTTACCTGTATACTGTTTTAACAGCAATTCCATGGCCAATTTTGTGACATCATGGTTGCTGTTTTGCACCCTTGCTTTTGGTTCAATTTACAATGATCTTTTTTCAATGTGCAAATGTAATTTAATGAAAATAGCAAATAAATCCAAATTACATGCTGTCTGTATTAGATTATATCTGCACACTGATCTTAATTCTGTATTTTTTGGATCTGTTACATATACAGCTGATCATTTTCAAGATATTGATGTTGACAGTATATAGGCTAGTCTTTCTGCCTGGTTGTGGACACAAACTGGAAAATGTTTTCTCTCTTTATGTATATTATTTATTGTACATTTATATCACTGCATTTTGTGTTATATAACCCTGGCATTCATTTTTTTTTTAAATAGCAAGTGGAAAGTTTTTTGCTATGGCCTTCCATTTAACTCTATTTTTACTCAATTTACTGCCATGTTCTAAAACTGAAAATAAGAGACTATGGCCATATGGACTACCAAAAAAATAATAATAATAATTCAGCTCGGAAAACATCTTAACTTCAAATACTTTTGCATGGAACACAAAAGAAGAAGTTGTAAAGTATGTTCATGCTGCTCTCTTTCATACAATAAAAAGTGGATGGGGACCAGGCACTGTCAAGATTCAAAAATGATAAAAAAAGCATCATAAAAGCATAAAAAGCAGTTCGTACAACTCAAGCACAATATTTCAAGTCTTCTGAAGCAATATGATAGATTTGCAGAGCGCAAGATTCAAACAGTGTAAAAATTACATATGACTTTCGTGACATTTAAGAAACATGGAAACTGAACGAATTGTATTTGACCTACACAGTGAACAAATATAAACTTAATCAACAAGTCTTCCATTAGAAGAGAGAGAGAGAGAGCACCAATGTCACCAATGTCAGTAACAAAAAATACTGCATGCTTATTTTCTGAATATTTGACAAACCATAAAACAAACACAACAAAAACAAAGAAAAAAGGGTTATTTTAATACAAGTATGCAATAGCTTCTTACTTGTCACGCACAGCAAAAGCAGGCAGAAACATAAAAGCCACTTTGATGCCATCACGGAGACCATTTCTCTCTCTCTCTTTCTCTCTCTGTCCCGGGTGAAGGTTCACAGTGATGTCCAGTCCACAGCCACTATCACCCTCCAGAATCCTTCGCCCTCTCCAGGACGGGTGCTGTCGTGTTTAACCCTACAGAGGCTTATTCTCTGTGCTCCGGGCTTTGCTCTTCCTCTCTCAGTATTCAGCAGCCGTCTCCCAGTCATCGACAGATGTTTTGCTCGCGTTAATACAATGTATTCCAGTCAGCCGAGAGAAGCGCAAGACTCCAGTCAGATTACGCTCGTTTATATTTGAAGCAGGCTTAAGACATTCATCAAGTCAGTACGCATGTCTTAACAAGAAAGAAACACCATTGTTGCATTTGCAAACATGTTGCAAACAAGAAAATAAATAACAGTAGACTCCGGCTCCGGGTAAACTTTTAAGCGATGAAGTGCGAGAGCTGACTCTAGCCTTTTCCAATGAGACTGTTCAATTTTCCTCACACGGCTGCTATTTTAAACTCACATTCTTAGGTAGTGACAATATTTTTAGATTATTGCACTGTTATTTTGTGATTTCCTGGCAGAGTGATCTTCGGATGCAGTGCAATCTGTGAAAAATAGCTACATTCTCATATGGGACATCGCTCTGGGAGGACCACGTGACAGACGGCGCGAGCGAGGTGAAGGAAGCGGCATCATAATGAAACATTTAGCATGATAATTTAAAGATGTTTCACTTTACCCATTCTGTCTATCTTATTTCCAAGTTTTATTCCCACGTTGTCATTCAGATTTATGCCATATTAATGATGTTATCATTTCTGTTATCCATAATATTTTTGAAGATATAGACTATTTTTATTAGACTTTTATTAGAGATTTATTTCCCTCCACTGAAAGTCTATTCCATCAAAAAGTCGATGCTTCAAAACGTTCATAAAAATATTGTGGTATAACACTTCACAATAAGGTTCCATAATTAACATTAGATAATGCATTAACTAACATTAATTTACTAAGGTTTTTACATTAAGTAATATCGTTGCTGACCCTAACATACCTGTCAAAAATGTCCCCCTATTCTCATTTGGACATTCTCAGTTTCAGAGAACACACACACACACACACACACACACACAAACTAAATAAATAAACCAAATCTTCTGTTACTTACTGAAAGATTCTATTTTAATGTCTACTTAAAAAGCTTGTCAAGGAATCTGAGCCCCTTAACACCAACAACCAGTGATCACCAAATGCTGTAAAATATAAATACATTTTAACAAAATAATTTATTTAAAAAAAACGTTTTGATAAATTTTGGTATATGACAGAATATTCCATTTAAAGCAAATGATCTCCAGAACACAATTTTACTGACCAAATGTATACATGTGAATGGTGATTTTGTCTACATTTTAGATAAAACGATGCCTTTCTTTAAATTAGTTACGGTCAAAATCCACTTAACTAAAAAATTTGAGGGTCATGTTTCAGATATTTGTTTAAATGGGCATGACGTTTCTTAAGATGCCTGCTCTTTCTCTCTCTCTCACACACACACACTGACACACAACACAAGTAGAGATAGTGAGGTTAGGGTTTTAAAAGGCCAGCTTCTGCATTCCACATCCGCAGTAGGTAACCTGCCAACTGTTAAAAGCATAATCTTGTTCACAGCATAGAAAAATCTCCACACGCACACACACGCATACACACAGACTGTCACGTATACTGTACAACAAATACAGATTCATTATTTTTCATTGTGTCATTAGACACTCACATTTGAGACACTCATTTCAGTGGGGCACCTAGTTTATATATTGATGTTAATGTTGAGAAAGATTATAAAGATGTGTAATGTGGCAAAACTGCATAAGAACTGACATCTTTGGCATCCAGAGGATCTAATCCATAAACGTGCTTGGGATCATAACCCAATTTAGAATTGGCTTCCTTCAAGAGTGACATCCAGAAAGACACATTTGATAATGTTTTTGACATTTTTTTGGCATGGTAACACTTATGTGTTATAATAATGTGAATTGTTTTAACATTAGTTAAAGGGGTCCTATTATGCTTTTTCACTTTTTCAACTTTAGTTAGTTGTAATCCCCTTTAGGACCCCTTTAATGCATTAAATATATTGAACCAGCAATTAATTTTATAGCATTTATTAAGTTATGCTCATTTATACAGTAAATGTATTGTTTATTGTTAATTCATCTTTGTATATATGTCAATATATTCATGTATTTAAGGAATAGTTCTCCTCAAAAATGAAAATTATGTCATCATTTACTCATGTCTTTCCAAACCTGTATAAGTTTCTTTCTTATGTACCAGCATTCTTCAAAGTATCTTCTTTTATGTTCAACATAAGAAAGAATCATAAGGTTTGGTACAACATGAGGGTGACAGAATTTTCATTTTTGTGGTTAACTATTCCTTTAATAATTTGAATTTACACAACTTAAATGAAAAATGTGCACGTAGAAATTATCATAATAATAAATAAATGCTGTGGAAGAATTGTGGATGCGCTTTATTTTACAGTATGTATTTACAGTGTATTTAAACAAGAAAGTACTGAGTAATATATAGGTAACTACATGGACATAATATGGGTTACGGTAAGGTTTAGGTTCAGGATTAGTACTTAGTAGGTAGATATTAAATACATGTAGAACAAGACTATAGAATGAAGTGCTTCATTGTTGCTCACGATCCTTACAGTAATGAATTAACTAATATTAACAAATTAAACATTATTGTAAAGTGTCTGACATGACATGACTTGTTATTATGGTACATTCTTCTAACAGTATTCTCAGTCCTTTGGAAAACTTTAACATGTCTTCAACAGCAGTGTACCAATATCCTAATTCTGTGCCCTATGTACTGTAATTATCCATAGATCTGTTGCTGCTTTAAAAACACACACAGCTCTTTCACACTAAGTCATTAAAATTTCAATCCAAGCTGTGGCTGCTATATTAGGTGTAGAGGTGGTTTATGACAGAGAAGTGTTGCGTAAATTGTGCTCTCACACACCTCCCATTTATGGGATGATGGAGGTTCCAATCTGTCGTAATGGACTTGAATCACATCTCGCCTTGTGTGGCCCACAGTAAAAGAGATTGACGGGCAAAGATTTGTGAGAGACAGATGGGGGATGGGCAAAGATTTAAAAAAGGGTAAGGGATGATTCATTAGATGTACCATTTTTATTCTTTTTCCTGGAAGACAAACACCATTTGTCTGAGAGGTGAGATTACAGCTCTGATCCATCCTCCACATCCTACCCCTCCGGCAAACAGCAGACCCTTTCCACAACATTTCCACAACTGTCATTGATATAAGTGTGTACTGTGTTCAAGATCAGCTGAGGACAGTTAATCGTTTAAGTAAAGCGATTTGTCTTCCTGTGTACACAAACACATGTGGTTTGTTTATGAGTGGACACAACACATACACTGCTCAAAAAAATTAAAGGAACACTTTTTAATCAGACTATAGCATCAAGTCAGTTAAACTCCTGGGATATTGATCTGGTCAGTTAAGTAGCAGAGGGGTTGTTAATCAGTTTCAGCTGCTTTGGTTTTAATGAAATTAACAACAAGTGCACTAGATGGGCAACAATGAGATGACCCACAAAACAGGAATGGTTTTACAGGTGGAGGCCACCTACTCATATTTCCCTACTCATATTTTCTGAATGTTTTTCACTAGTTTTGCATTTGGCGAGGGTCAGTGTCACTACTGGTAGCATGAGGCGATACCTGGATCTCACAGAGGTTGCAAAGGCAGTCCAACTCCTCCAGGATGGCACATCAATACGTGCCATTGCCAGAAGGTTTGCTGTGTCTCCCAGCACAGTCTCAAGAGCATGGAGGAGATTCCAGGAGACAGCCAGTTACTCTAGGAAAGCTGGACAGGGCCGTAGAAGGTCCTTAACCCATCAGCAGGACATCTGGTATCTGCTCCTTTGTGCAAGGAGGAAGAGGATGAGCACTGCCAGAGCCCTACAAAATGATTTCCAGCAGGCCACTGGTGTGAATGTCTTTGACCAAACAATCAGAAACAGACTTCAGGTGGCCTGAGGGTCTGACGTCCTCTAGTGGACCCTGTGCTCACTGCCTGGCACCATGGAGCTCGATTGGCATTTATGCATTTATGAAAATGTTATTCTGCCTGTAACATCGTTCAGCATGACCAGTTTTGTGGTGGGTCAGTGATGATCTGGGGAGGCATATCCATGGAGGGATGCACAGACCTCTACAGGCTAGACAATGGCATCCTGACTGCCATTAGGTGTCGGGATGAAATCCTTGGACGCATTGTCAGACCCTACACTGGTGCAGTGGGTCCTGGGTTCCTCCTGGTGCATGACAATGCCTGGCCTCATGTGGAGAGAGTATGCAGGCAGTTCCTGGAGGATGAAGGAATTGATACCATTGAATGGCCCCCACGCTCGCCTGACCTAAATCCAATAGAACACCTCTGGGACATTTTGTTTCGGTCCATCCGACGATGCCAGGTTGTACCACAGACTGTCCAGGAGCTCAGTGATGCCCTGGTCCAGATCTGGGAGGAAATACCCCAGGACATCATCCGTCATCTCATTAGGAGCATGCCCTGACGTTGTCAGGCATGCATACAAGCACGTGGGGGCCATACAAACTACTGAGTACCATTTTGTGTTTCTGCAATGAAATTTCAGCAAAATGGACTAGCCTGCTGCATCATTTTTTCACTTTGATTTTCGGGGTGTCTTTAAATTCAGCCCTCTGTAGGTTGATAATTTTCATTTCCATCAAACAATGTGGCATCCTTTCGTTCCTAACACATTACCCAGTCCATATCAGTATAGATATCCAGCATGATAATTTTCCCCACTGAGATCTGATGTGTTTTCAAAGTGTTCCTTTAATTTTTTTGAGCAGTGTATAGCAGTGTATTTCAGAGCGCATGCGTGATTGTGCATGCAGCCTGTTGCCGCTGCTCCTGTGTGTGTTTTTTTATTTCTGTTCACTTAACTTTATTCGTGTGGTCTTTTCTTATTGTATTTTTTTGTGAGCTCTTTGAAGTTGTGCCCTTTCAAGGATGCAGGTGGAGAAAGTTTTAACAACCTTTTTAATAACTTTTTTTTCGTACAGGAGTTCAACACCTGTTGGATATGCTGCTCGGATTGTTTACTCCCGAGATCAGTTGATCGATCTAAAGCCGTCCAGCTTAGCGATTCGACCAGCTGATTTACCTACTGAAATCTGGAGGAAAACTCATAGAGGATGTAGGGAAAAACAAGACAACGAGGGAAGAGAGCTGGGCTGAGACGGGAGAGACAGAGAGAAGAGGAGATTCAAGACGAGTCTCCCCTCTCTTATTATAGGCAATGTGAGATCGCTGGCTAATAAGATGGAGGAGCTGACAGGGCTAGTCAGAAGCCAGACAGAGTACCGGGAATGTAGTATCATGTGCTTCACAGAGACATGGTTACATCAGGACAAACCCGATCAGAACGTCTCCATCGAGGGCTTTCAGACGGTTCGGGCCGATCGGGATTGCAACGAGAGCGGTAAGAGAAAAGGAGGGGGGC